TTTTTGATTTCGAGAAAGTTCGAGAAAATTCTCGCACGCGATTTAAAATCTTATAAAAAGGAGGAAAACCTCTCAATTTTTTAGTTAGTTAGTTGGTTGTTGTTTTAAGAGTTTGCCTTAGAAAATGCTCTTGTTGATTGTAACAAATTCACAGATTAGCTTTCTTTAGCTGTTTTGAATTAAGTTCTTTTGAACGTTTGAGTAGTTAAAAGATAACTACTGTGAGATTTTGTAATACTGCATGAATATCCGAGGAAGTTTAAGCATTATTTGTTGTGATAATAATACATTTTGTTCCTTTTTCATCGGACTTGCGCATTCATTTCGTAACAAACCCGTACGCACGCAACAGTATGTATGTTCTTCACACTGTGAAACACAGACAGTACCTAGAGGCATTAAATTTTGAAAAGCATTGTCTTCCACCCAAACATGTGCACCTTGAAGGTCAAATTTTGAATTTTATATTTCATATTTTTTAAATCTTTAAGGAAGTTTAGATTAACAAACTCAATGATCTGAAAGTGAGCAGTGGTAACATTGTATGGAATAAAATATTCAAATAAAATCTTTCAAATAAAGTAATTATTCTTGTTTCAAAGATTCATAACTTGAGGATACTATCTTTTGACAAGGATGATAGAATGGTTAATCAAATTTGTATTTTCAGATCTTTAAATAAGATTTATATCAGACTGTAAATTACTTAGCTTCATTTGTAGATTTTCTTGTGTATTATTCAGGTTGTTTTAAATAAAAATGAAAATAATGCAAAATTGGATTCGAAATCATTAACATCTTAAATATTTTCTTTAAATCCTTGCTATAATAATGTTAATAATTGACAAGAAATGTATTCACAGGCCATATAAATTTGCTTCAGTGCCACGCATGAGGTCAGTGGCAGTTTCAGGCCACTGGTCTGAGCTACCCAGCTTAGCTAATAAAAGAGAAATTTACTAATTAAAGCCTGTAACTTTACATTCAAATCTCTAGTTTAAGAAGTGGCTTTTTTTTTCCCTTATCTATATATATATATTCATTTTAAAGATGATAATGCAGAATTTGAATGAAATTAGTGAGTCAAAAGTCATGTGCTCTTCTTATGACAACTTACCCCCCCCAATGAATTTGACTGATGGGAAAAGATTTGTGAGGGCCTGTTTGTGTGTTGAATGGTGGTTAGGAAGTACATTGCTTATTTTGTGGTTTACACAGTAAAATGGCTGAATGTGGTAAGATTAATTTGAAGTTTCTGTTAAATGAAAGGAAAAAAAAAAAAGCATTGGTTAGAGTAGATTGAAGAGTGCCCCTTGTATTATCGTGAAGTTGTTGTTTTATTTTTATGGTAACCTTATAGAGTCATTAGGTTAATTGGAAGCAGAAAAGATGAAAAATATGCAACCACCTTCGCCGGGAATCGAACCACAGACCTCTGGAATACCGGCTCATGTGCTACATTACACACGAAGGCCACACTAGGGAAGTGAAGACATACTCATATAATCCCCTTTTAAAGGCGACTAGGGTTCGGGACCTAGTCTCAAATCTTGGGTGTGGAGAATCATCATCCACAACACTTTTTAGTTAGGGCGCCACTTGTAGAGTCATTAGATTAATTGGAAGCAGAAAAGATGAAAAATATGCAACCGCCTTTGCTGGGAATCGAACCATGGACCTCTGGAATACCGGCCCAGCGTGCTATCGTTACACCACGAAGGCACGCTAGGGAAGTGGAAGAAATACCTTATAACCTGAGTAGTTGAATGTTATGGAAACCCTATTATGATGTAATCGATTGTTGTAAATTGTTACTGTAAATTTTGAATGACAGGAAAAGGATTTGTAAGGGCTTGTGGTGTGTGTTGGTTAGGAAGTACATTGCTTGCTTTGAGGTTTAGACGGCAGAATGGTTGAATGATATACGATTAATTCGAATTTCTGTACAATTTGGAATGAAAGGGAAAAGTACATTAATTGATTGGTGTGTATATGAAGGTTCACTTAGTAGCCACTATAGGTGTCCTGTTTGTAGGAAGGAAATGTGTATGGTTGAACGACGGAGGATATTTTTTACTGTTATATTTGCTAATTTATGTGGCAATGCTGATATATGGATTCTAGTTCAGATAATTTTAGGGTTTTGAATGCTGTTAAGGAATTTTGTGTGCCACAGATTGAAGGAATCAAAAATTTCTAAATAAGGCAAGTGGATATTTGCTTTGTATAGTGCTTAGATGCATAAGACAAATTTCCTTTATTATGTTATTTTACTGTTTGATTTCATCATTGAGATCGTGTATTTTTTGTTTGGCTCTACTGTAGAATTGGGTGCTCCTTTGACTTAAGTGAAAACAGATCGATGTGTACATAGACAAAGTCAAGTCAATGCGCAATGGCGAGTTTATGCAATTTTCTTTTTTTTTAAAAGTGAAAATAGTTCAATTTGTACATGGATACCAAGTTTGTGCAATTCTTGGACTTGTTATTTTGGCTTTGTGTAGCAGCAATTTTTGGTGCAAAAATTTCCGTTACACAAAACCAAAATAACAAGTTAAAGAATTGCACAAACTCTGTGTCCATGTACCTCTAAAAACCGCGAATTTCCACCAAAGGACACCCGTAAATATATTTTTACCATATTTTGCATTGGCTTCCATATATGTTGAAACTGAATTAAAAAGAAAATGGAATTTATCAGCAGATACAGCTTACACATCTTCAGCAGACAAACAGGAGAAACATTTAGAGTAAAATGTGTTAGATTCAAACATAAAATCAGATTTAATTCTCTTAATTCCATTTTGGGTAAAATCCTAGTATACAGTGCAGCCTTGGCACGACTTTGAAAACTATCGCCAACACCAAAAATGATCCAAATAACGTCAATATATATATACTATACACACTTATGTATATACATAGCATATACTATGTTTAATTGTATATTTTCTTTGAATGACCCATTAACTACTCATCGTATATGTCCCGTTTTTACTGCTCATCATAAAGTCGCCAAAAGTAGCCAAATCCCGTGTGCACCGGATAATAGGATTAAACCCCATTTTGCAATAAATATTAAGATCATACTGCTGCTCCACTGCTAAAAGCTTCTAGCAACTACAAGCAACTGTGCTTTGAATGTTTATGCGTTGATCTTTACAATATCGTAACTGGTAGTTTGGCAAAATTTTGGAGGCGATAAAGGTTACTACCTGGCACTTTGGTAATAATATGAGCAGTACTCAGTTCCGATTACGCATTATTTTGTGTGAGGGAAATGAGAGATCATGGGATATGTCATGTGATATTAATGGACGAATTACGGTTCTTTAATCGGAAAAGGGGGGAAATCAGGAAATTTTGTATTTGGCTTTATTCTGTGTTGTGTGAAACAGTGTTCGTGAATTTTGGATCCCATGGCCATAACTAAAGTGAAATTCGAAATGGGTATTTATGTATGTATTAATTTAATGTATGTGCTCATTTATATTTTAAGTAGTGTTTTTTGAATTTAATTATATTTGAATTAAATGATAGTTATTTTGTGAATTTTATGGGTTGTAGGAATTTGGTATACATTTTAGTTGAAGTAAACGTGCATGGAATTAATTTAAATATCTGACAATAAGTATTTGAAATGGTTGCGGTATGAATTCGTTGGTGACGTGTATAATGTAATAGATGATTTAGAGGTAAAAGTTTTTGGATATTTTATTTATTTTATATGTGGAAATGTTCATTACTTTTTCGCGATCAGGTAATTTCATATATGTTCTTTTTACCGGGTTTAAAGATTGAGAAAATTATGTATTTTCGTGAAATTTTTCTAATTTATGAGAAAAAAGCAGTGTACATGGATATAGTGAAGAGTGTGCGCAATGCCATTTTTGTGCAATTCTGTGATGTTTTTTTAAGTAAAAATAAGTCGAGACGTGTACATGGTTTAGTGATATTTTAATTAAATGATAGTTATTTGTGAATTTTATGTTTGTAGGAATTTGGTACACGTTTTAAGTTGAAGTAAACGTGCATGGAATAATTTAAATATCTGACAATAAGTATTTTAAATGGTTGCGGTATGAATTCGTTGGTGACGTGTATAATGTAATAGATGATTTAGAGGTAAAAGTTTTTTGGATATTTTATTTATTTTATATGTGGAAATGTTCATATTTGGAAAGGGTAAATACTTTTTTCGCGATCAGGTAATTTCATATATGTTCTTTTTACCGGGGTTTAAAGATTGAGAAAATTGTCATGTATTTTCGTGAAATTTTTCTAATTATGAGAAAAAAAGCAGTGTACCATGGATATAGTGAAGAGTGTGCGCAATGCCATTTTTGTGCAATTCTGGGATGTTTTTTTAAGTAAAAATAAGTCGGGCGTGTACATGGTTTATGTGTATGTGTTATTTTGAAAAACGCGTAAGGAGTATGGTATGTGCACTTTTTCCAAATTTTGCAGTGAATATTTGTCATGATTAAGCAGTTTTGTTAGATAAAATTTCTAGCATAAGTGTAATTCGGCTAGTAGATTGTTGGAAGAAGTGTTCAGTAGATAAAAAGAAAAGAAACATGTCTTTACTTCGTGAAGACAAAATGGCGGCGGGAAAAAAAAAATAGAGGGTTGCTGTAGGAGAGTTGGTCGCCAAAAAAACGCCAAGTTACCATAATGTAAAGATCAACCTGTTTATGTTTTAAAGCAATTAAAAACTAAATCTAGTTATAAGAAGCATTAATATACTACAAGGTGAGGCATCTATGGACAAAAATAAGGAATTACATTACTTACTATTAATAATTTTCTTAACTGCCTACCTATTATTTTCAGCATTGATTTATATAATATTTAAATGAATTTATAAATCTCAAGTCAGCATCAACAAAAATTAGCTGACAGTGCTTATGCTTTGATTATGATCGAATGCAATAAATCAAATCTATGACACAAGATATAATACTGCTTACTGAGTAGTTCAATAATTACTTACTACGTACCATCCATTCACATTATGTTGAGCGTTTACGTCAGTACCATTCTCTATGAAAGATCTCACGCTATCCTCATCTCCGTACGCAGATGCTTCGCGTAACAATTCTTCGCTACGCTTGTCACCGTTAATTTCAACATTATACATACTTCGAAGATGCATTATTTACTTGATAACGCACGGTGTTGCCACGCATTACGGAAATATTATGGCCATGGGAAGACACTATTTTATAAGTTAAATACAATCAAACAGTATTATTAATTATCATAAAATTACTGACCTGAATGATTTTGAATTTTTAAATATACATATTTTAAGAGTAAATAATTTATTATGATAAAAATTGATTTCTTGTAGTACATTTTATTAGTCTTAATGTTTCGCGCGAAATTAAAAATTGGCATCATCAGCAACACAGCAATCCTAAACGTTATATTCAACGTAAGTTATAACTTTTAAAACATACTGTCGTATTTCTATTTCTAATTTAATGATGTGATTATTGTAGTATGATTTTTTTTTGTACATTCAGTGAAATTAAAAAGAATGTTATTGAGATAATTGCACAGTAACTGAATGCAGTGTAATACGTTTAATCTAGCAGGAACTATGTTTACGAATCAACTTAAATGCTTTAACCCAAATAACAACGCCAAGTTACTAATGCGTGCAATCATTTAAATTAAAAAAAATTAACAAACAAATTTCTTAAGTAATTTGTAAACGGGGATTGTCGTTATGGAAAAAGTGCATGAGAAAACGTCTGAATTGATCAACGATGTCCGAAAAAAGAAGAAAGCGTTTTGTAATAAAAATGATCATGAAAAAGGGGAAAACAAAATTAACTATGAAGTGCCTTACTTGAAACATAACTGTTGTTGTTACTGCACTAAAGTATTTATCGCTCCGAAGTATTTGCTTAAACATATTTTTAGACGACATCCAGAAAGAATATTGCATCACCATCGTAAGTTAAGTTTTACGGATTTAGAAATTGATAATATGAAGCCATCTGTTAATCTTGTCAGTTTTTTAGACCGAGAATTTGGTTATTTAAAGAAAGAACTTAATTGTGTGAAACAAATACTAATACATAGTCATCCGTCTTATTCACTTGGTGAATTAAAATATAATTCTTTTACATCTTGTACAGATGAAATCCATTTTAAGAAACATGCACAAGATTTGAATTTGAAAGAATCTGAAAAAATAGACACTGATAAAAAATCCTATGAAGTAAATGAATTAAAATTAAAATTTATGGATACCGAAAATAGAGTGCAGAATCTGCAGAAGAAATTTAATGAATTGTTTCAACTGGTTGAAGATAATGTTACATCCAGAGAAGATATTTGTACGAAGATATCTCTCACTGAAGAAAAACTTCTCAAACAGCAAGAGGCAGAATTTTACAAATTACGAAATAATATGTCAACCCAGTTGCAAAACTTGCAAGCTGTATTTTTAAGCCAGTTGCAAGAAAGTAATGTTCACTGGAAGAAGGAATTTTGTGAGGTAAAAAATGAACTAGCAAGATTAGATGCTTTAACGAATTTAAATGCAAAAAAAATTGATTCAGCAGATTATTTGGAAGGTTTGGAGAAAAAATTTGAAAATCGAATAATGCAGATTTTGTCTTCCCCTAAAATATTCAGAGAAAAGCATAAATCATCACATTCTAAACAAGAAGTATGTAGTAATACCTCTCTGCTCATTGGTCCAATTAAAGAATCTAAAAATAATAAATGTAGTGAAATATTATGTAGAGCTGATCAACCTGATTTTATACTTACAGAGTCTTCCTCTCCTGATCAAATAAAATCTACTTTAGAACAAAAGCTGAAATATTTTAATATTGGACCAGAAATTGGTAGATTATCTTCTACTGAATTTGAAGAGAAAATGAAACTTGTGCATTCAGAATTAAAAGGATTATGCAAGGTGCATAAAAATTTTATGAATATTCGTGATGAGATAAATTCACATGCGGAGAAAGTGGCATTGTCAAAATTAAAACAAAAAAGACATAAAAAAATTAGATTTAGTGAGCAAGCTGTAAGTGGTGTAAATACTGTGATGGAAATAAAAAATGAAGTTTGTAAAAAGTCAAATCATTTCTCACCTAAAGTTGAAAGTACTGGATTTCTGACGTCCAGTTTTGATGGAGGGGGAGATTGTTCTGCTAATGCTGCAGATGTTGACTTAAATATTAATCAAAAACTGAACTGTTCTTATGCCACAGAGATTGATGTGAATGCTAATAAGGTGTCAGAAGCAGCAGATTTTGAAGTAGCAAAAAATTATAGTTGTGATGATAAAATGCCTAAATGTAGTACTCCAAAAAGTGCAAAAGATGATCAGAATTCAAATCTAATACATAATTCAACTTTTTCTGAAGTAACTAGAAAAGTACATGAAGATTGGGATGATAAAAGTGATCTCGAGTCACTTAGTTCGTGGGATGACCAAAATTCACTGGAAACATAACATTTTAAAAACGATAGTCTATTTAAATGGTATATTTTCTTACACAATAAAAAAATTCTACTAGGCCCTTTTTTTTTTTATCAAGTTCTGTATCCTTGTTTCGCAGCAGTTCCCCCCCCCCCAGTTAAAAGTGATTGACATTTAACACCTATAGAGGTCTAAAAACTCTGGAGTGTTATGTTCCCATTAAGATGTAGCATTAAAAATGTATTAGTAATTGATTCGTAGGGTATATGGTGGACTTTATGATTTTCAAGATTTACAGCAAAATCAATCACTGTTATGTTTTGTGTAAAATGTGCAAATGTATCTAAGTATTTAAATGAGAGTTTTAAAAATTAATAAAATCTTCTAGTCGTAGGAAATATTTGCAGAAAATGATAGTGCTTCAAAAATATTTTTGGTTAATCTTTGGAATATGGTAACAGGTAGTTTGGCGACATTTTGGTAAGGCGATAAAGGTTACTAGCTGGGACTTTAGCAGTGTACATGGATAAAGTCAAGAGTGTGCGCAATGCCATTTTTGTGCAATTCTGGGATGTTTTTTTAAGGGGGGTAAGGACCTTTCAAGCTCACTTTTTTCCAATTTTTTGACCAATGTTTGAAATGGCCTCATATACAGGATATTAACCACACAGTCATATAATTTATGCTACATATAAATAAAAACATGCAGATATAGAAACAAGTTAAATGGGAAGTTTAAGTTGAGAACTTTTTTTAAAATTAAATTTTAGATATTGATTGTATATTGAAAATGAAACATAATAGCATATTATTGTCCGTAAGATATCTTTAAATAAAATGTAGTTACACTTTCGATTCTTGACTCAAAATAAAGCTAAATGTATTGGCTATAGAATGAATTAAGGAATTACAATTATATTCATAATTAATATTTTAAAATTGAGAAAAATATTGAATTTTAATTTACTTTACTCTTTTTTTTTTTTTTTTTTTTTTTACTAATATGGATCAAAACAAAACAAAAAAATTAAAAATCACTTTCATGTTAATTCCATGCATATGGGTATTTTTAACATATATGTGCAATTTCAGAAAATTCCATCAATAATATTTTTTTAAATCTTATGGATAAGTGTCAAAAACACAGTTTTGAGAAAAATGACTTTAAAGTTAAACTTTACGTTTTTTCACAATACAGTCAAAAGTCGTTAATCCGGACTCGTCGGGACTACGGCTCGTCCGGATTATAAATCATCAGTTTAAATCTGGTAAGATGGCATGCAAAAATTATAAAATTAAAACTATGAAACCGTAATTTATGAAATAAAGAACAATTATGATCTAAAGGGTATCAAAATTTATAAAAAAAGAAAAAGCTTAATATTTATTTGTTTACTTTATTAAACACTTTTAAGTTGTTTAAGTTGCTTCGTTTCATGTGATAATACTTTCTCTTTAATTCTATTAACCGGACATAATTTCTTGTTTAGTTACAAAGTTCCGCTGTTCAAATCCTATAATTGCTGTGTCGAGAATACCGACTAATTCGTCAATCGAAATTTTTTCGTTTTCAATAACCTCTGTGTCACTTTCTTCACTATCGGAAGTGAATTATAATGCCGAGGAATTTGATTTAAATCGTATCAAAGACGGAGTACATCGAAATGAAATACTACATTTAGTAAGGAATTATAAGCCAAATAAAATAAAAACGTCTGCCCTGAAGATAAGGATAGTGCTGACAGATCAACTTCCAATTCATTGCGTGGTGCTCCGGCGTTAAAGATAACAAGTTTAGATAAACAAACGTTAAAGTTTAGATAAACAAAGGATATGCCTTTATCCATTTTTTGCAGCAATTCCACTTTTTGTTTAATGGACTTCGAAACATACAGCGTCTCACAAAAGTGATGGGACACTTGTGCTTTACAAAAGGAAACTGTAATAAAATAAATTAAAAAAACATGTAAAATTTTTTTGTGGGTGTGTTTCATACTTAAATTTAGTAACAATTATTACATAACATACATTTTCTCAAAATATTAAAATATTAATTTAATAAAAATACAATTGTTTAAAAACGGAGCAAAAAATGACTCGCATAAGTGATGGGACACCATTAGATAATACTATACATACTACAATAAAAATATTTTTTGGGTTTTTTATTTTTACTCAAAAGCAATTGGCAATAATTTATAAAATCTTCTGCAGTATTTCTCTCCAGTTTGTTTTGGAATTTTTGTGTTTTTTATCTCTGTGCAGCCATGCATGCTAAACGAAAAGACACTTTGCCTGAAATTCGAAAATTAGTTATTAATTTGCATATTGAACATGGAAAATCTATTAGAGAAACTGCTGAAACAGTTAACTTGAGTCATTCAACAGTTTTTAATATCATTAAACGATATAAAATGAATCCTATCATTCAGGATAAAAGAAGACCTGGCCGACCATCAAAGCTATCCAATGGAATAGAGTGCATTATCGTTCGAAATATTAAAAAAAGTCCAAGAATGAGTGCTCCTAAAGTTGCTGTTTTTTTACAAGCCTTATATGGAGTAATTGTTAACCCTGAGACTATTAGAAGAGTAATTCGATCTGCTGGATATCACGGTAGAGCAACCAGGAAAAAATTCTTCGTAAGTGAAAAGAATAGTAAACTCAGACTGGCTTTCACAAAATCCAACATAAATAAGAATTCTGATTACTGGAATGAA